CCCCCCCCCCCCCGCCTCTCCCCCCAGTGCCCGTAGCCTCCCTCTGTACCCCCCAACACCCCTGTGATCCCCCAAACCGTGTTTACTGAGCATGCCACTTTCATCAGTCGAACTGTCGAACACAACATTTTGTCCACGAGATTGAATAGCAATCTCACAGCCACCCATGTGCACTTGGAAAGGACACTGTTCATGACCTTGCTTTTGGGATATTCGCCACAGCTTAAAAAGGGGTTGTTCATAAAAACAGGACTCCACTCCATTATGTCAGAAATAAATAACAATAGCTTGGCATTTCCTACCTCATCATCCTCTTCCTCCATTTCATCCTCGTCACCAGAATCGCTATCCTCGCTTGGATTGCTGTGCTCGCCAGATGACTGTTCCGATGCCGAGTCATTATCTCCTGCTGGTGCAAAATCTGAGTCCTGCAGAAAGAGAGAGAGAGAGAGAGAGGTCATACCACCGCTAATGCACCTAATCGGATCCAAACTCGAACACAGAAGCCAAGAAAGAGAGAGGTCCACACACAAACACAACCAACCATTGACTTTCTAATCAGGAATTCATATTCTCAAGGAGACATAGAGTGCTGAGCAAGTGCTTGCAATAAAACCAGGATGTGAAGCACTCTCAGCCTCCAACCTCAATTCTCAAGGCCCGTAAACCATGGATATAATTCTCGTCAGCTCCCGAAGCTGTTTTCCCTGTCTGTGGAAGCGGTACAAAAGGCCAGAGGGCCTCTTACAGACACACAATCCCACTGGGGATTGTCGGAGCTTGCTGAGGTGCAGGAAAAAGCTAGGCTGTCTTCCTGGGCGCACAACTTATGCCCGGACACACGCCCGGGTGCCCTGCCGGCTGGGCATGACCCCCGGGCAGGGTCCCGGGCAGCCCCAGCGCAAAAAAATTGGGGGAAAAAAAAATGTTGTGTATAGTTGCAATACAAACAACTTTTGGCTGACGGTCACATCAGACTTCCTCACGGAACAGAAGATAAAAAAGAAAATAGTTTAAATAACCCAATCACACTAAGGCACCCCCCTTTAAACCGCTTTAGCCCCTTTAAAACCAATTTACATCCCCCTTCCCCCCCCTTGACAGCCAGCACTCAAAAAAAGAAAAGAGCCTGGATTTGGGCTCCTCTCAGAGAGCACAGGAAAAAAAAACCTACGCCAAAAAAAAAAATTCCCATGCCCATGCCCAGGTATCCTGGGCGTCAGACCCCGCCGGGCGTCACGCCTGGGTGACCGGCCCGGCCGTTCCAGACCGGCCGGTCATGAAAATCTTCCTAGGGAAAAAGGCAATAAAAATGCAGCACAATCGGTTAATGCACAACAGGCAAAACCAAGAAAAAAAGAAAAAGCATTGGAGTGCCACCAGGGTTCTAAAAAATCTCTAGAGCAACCTTGAACCTCTCCCCAAGCCCCTCAATTAAGGTTAACAAGCATTCAGGTTATTCACCACAGAAAGAAAAAAAAACAGGCTTGTTCACCGTACCAGTGCTTTGAGTCCCTCCTCTCCTCCCCTCCCCTCCTCTTTCCGCTTTGTTCCCAGCCATAACAACATAACGACACCTTCTACTCTCTAAGGCATGTTCTCATACGGTGGCTAATACAAGGGTCTCCGCTTTTCACAGTTTTCTGCTCTCTCAATTATGGTAGTTACCCTACGCGGGCGCTATACGTGTCCAGTGCGAAAAGGTTTGGCACGTGAATAGATCGATAGGACCACAGCAAACCAGTTGATGTTCCTAGGGCAGCAAATACATCACTGTGTCCGGCATCAAGTCTCTAGATGCAGAGGGTGTGTGGGACATGATAACGGTGGTAGGGCAGTGACACTCCTTTTTCCTTGGAATCAACACCCTGAGCTGTGTGGCACTTTAGGGTTGTGTTCCGAAAATAAGGTACCGTGGGCTTCTGTTGGGGTTTCGGGAAGGACGCATTGTCCATAGGATCAACGGAAAATAGCTGGAATAGGACGACGGACCGTCTACCGAAAGAGAATCTTTCCTGAGTACCACTACTGATATGACTGCAGTAATTGCCCAACGACTCCAAACATTCAGCGGAACATGCCGCAACAGCTCACAGTCCAGGGGCACACCACACACATACCACTGGATTGAGGCGCATGGGTCTCAACATTCATGGTCCAAGGATGGACAGCACTCTTTTCTTAGAAACCTTACTCGTTGCTGTCGACTGTGGGGTTGCTTCAGAAAAAAAAAAACAAAAAAAAACGACTAAAAACCTGGGACCCGTTAGGCCCGGATTTCCTGCGCTATTTTCCCAGGTACGTAAATTAAAACACAAAAATAGTAAAATACTGCAAATAGAGTCAAGTGTTGCAAAGAGTCGAGCCTAGACTGTCGTCACAAGTGCTCTCCGAACTGCACGAGATGGTCGCCCATCACACGGCTCTCGAACTCAAGTTGCTTCATCAAGCCACGATAGCCTGTAGTGCTATTTCCATGCTATGCCTGTGCTATGTCCATGCTACCCGTGGCTCGAACAATTTGAACTCAAGTTGCCTCATCACGCCACGGTTAGCATGTACATAGCACAGGCATAGCGTGAACATAGCACCGACATAGGATGCATGCATGAACAGAGAAAATAGCCACCCTCTTCTCCAACCGCACTGTCTGTTTTGGTCATACGCTCATACAGCAACGGACGGAATAAACGACTTCCTAAAATTGACAGCAATCCACTTGCCTCCTCATCACTGGTTCCTTCAACTTCTTCAATCGGCCTTCCGCCCTCGCGAGACTTCAATATGCGAGCAAGGTGAGGATCGTGTCCTTCATCCTCTACGCCGTCGCCAAGCCCTCTGTCCACCACTGGCCCACCCTGCTCTCCTGTGAGGTTCATGATTCTTAGCCCCTTTGTACTGACACACAGGCATACAGGAAAAACACATGAGATTCGATGAGAATCAGTCGACACCGACTCGACAACTTCAGCAAAAGGCAAATCGAGAAGCGACGAACAGTTAAAAAAAAAAAAAGAAAGGAACTGTTGTCGACGATTTGAAAGCAAGCAAGTCAAAAAATAATAATAATAATAAATCAAGCAAGCAAGAAGTCACTGCTGGGCAGCTTGTCTGCAAAAAAAAGGGGGGGTTGTGTGCCTTCACTTCCCTGCGAAAATAAACCCTAAAGGGCCTAAAACCGGAAAAGTATGGCTTGTGTGCAATTTCATTATGATCAGGCGTGTTGTGTTGTATTCAGTGGAAGACGGTAAGGAGGAGCTCAATCTGGCAGACCTCGATGAAACACAACCGCTCCGATGGCTTCAACTGCCGTCTTCCCCGACTGTCACCATCCCTGCCGTAACTAGACTGAAAGTTGCCCCAAATTCATCTATATAATGACCATAATATGTACTATTCCGCGGAAGATCGTAATAAGGGCATACTCACACTAGGACTTCTGTGGATGATACATCATATAGTAGAGTAAAGCCTGAAGGTTTCAATTAAACCACCAGCGGCGCCAGAGGCCCTTGTCCAGTTATTTTGTTCCGACGGCGCAGTTGATCTGTCGCGTTAACAGGGACTCAGCCTACCGCGCTATGATGGTTGGCAGCACAAGCCAGACAAAAAAAAAAAAAAAAAAAGTGTCTGAATCGGCTCCCTTTTTCTTTTGTTTCGCATGCAGCAGCAATCTGCGTCGGGAAAACGTTTTATGCTCAGAAGGACCGGTGGTCTGAGGGCACAATAATCGCAGTAAGACTTTTCTAGAAGTACACATGAAAGCAGTCACAGCCAGATTCAATCAATCGAAATTCTGAAAACGTTCTCGTGTCCGTGCGTGCCCGAGTCGGCTTTTCCAAAACCTCCGACAAGCGATAGATCGCCTGGGCTCCCCAAGTGTTTTAGGATGACCTGCCCTCCGTAAGACGCACGCAGCCACTCAGGGCAACAAACTTCGTGCATACTTAGTTGTTCTGCTCAGTTGCATGCGGCAAGGCGAGCACGTGAACCACACACCCAAAGAAAAGACAAAACGTTACCTATATAGTATATACACTCACAAAGCAGAACTAAATCTAACAACAAAGAGATGACGGCCACAATAAGGATGTCATCAGTAAATGCAGGTCACTCACTCACTTGATGAAATTGAACAGGTTGTGGTACTCTATCCTCTGAATGTTACGGAATTGGTGCTGCGTCTGCATCCACAAAAAACAATCGATAAGCAAACCAAAAAAAAAAAAAACATTGCAAGTGACAAACTATTAGGCAAGACACACTCACCAGTAGACACGAAGGACAATGAACAGCTGTTCCACATGAATGACAATCCCAGTAGTAACCCCTTTCTTCTTCTTCTTCTTCTTCTTCTTCTTCTTCTCCTCACATGCTCATTTTAACTGACAACTGTACATGCTCATTTCAACTGACAACTCTACATGCAGATGTGATGCTTAGCTGTTGTTGCATGTGAGAGAAGCAGTCTATGGCCACTTTTTTCACTATTCTCCTTCTTCTTCTTCCCGTAGCTTGGGTTTTTCTTCTTCCAGTAGCAAGACCTTCTTCTTCTTCTTCTTCTTCTTCTTCTTCTTCTTCTTCTTCTTCTTCTTCTTCGGCAGCGGCGGCGACCTCCAACTGCTTCGTCTATTGAGTTCTCCAATTATTTTATGTCTGGACAATAGTGCAACATTGATAGAGAGAGATAATCTTCCACTTTCTTAGGCCGGATAAACAACACATTTGACTACCACATACAAGGAAATCCCACGCTGCAGTCAAGAGATCGGACGACAAAATGACGAAATAACTAAGTGTGGATTCTATTTCCCAAAACAACGAAATAACTAAGTGTGGATTCTAACTCCCATCGTCAGAGAAGCCGAGTACCAAACCATCATTCCGATCACAACTATAATAGTAAGATATCCGATACCAACCAACACAACAAACACAACACAAGAGAACGCACATTTGGGTACCAGGCCGTATCAATACTCTTATCAATCGGTAAACACAAGAACTCCAGAGCACATTGTTTTTAAAACCGGAAGAGTTTGACCAAACAAACTCTTTCTTCCTTTTCTGCCTTCGCTTCTTAGTAGTTCTTTCTAGATTCTATTTTTTTATGTTGCCTCTCACTGAGTCTCACATCTATCCACATCACGTCTTGACAAGATCCGGTCGCCTGCAGGTGCCGTGTTTGTAGTATTCGCTCCTCTGTGCAGGTTTTAGCATCTGTTACCTGCGAGATCCGAAACACAGTGGGTCGTGACGGGAGTGGGAGAGCGGTACATACGGTTGCGAACGGGGGAATGTTGTTATAGGTGGAACCCCCTGAGAGATGGCTGCATGGCAGCAGCTGAAACGCGGCGTGTGGGATGCCGACACCCGTGCTGTTATGGACTTCGATTTGTATTCAATTTTTCTTATCTTCCTTTGGGAGTATCATCTGCTTGTCTACTCTTTTGAGTTGACGTTGGATCGAATGTGGTTTCCAAAAACTGCCTCTCACATTTCTCCACAAATAAGCTCTCAATCCAAAACACGCTTGAACAAATGACTGCAAAAACACTCAAATAGCGATCGTTATCAAATCTTTTGAAATTCAGAGAACGACACGAGCTCTTATATTACCAAAAACAACACACCGTTTCGTGTCCCAACAGGATCTGGTTGCTGGCAGATGCTGTCGAGGGACAGATCAAACTGGAATTGCAGTTGCTGACTCTGCACGCCATCACACCAGAGCACTGCACCCATGACACGGCACAGTGCGGCACGGCGTGGCACCTATGACTTTTTAAAACTGACTAAGAAGGGGATTAGGGAGTCGAGAAGCCGCAATGACCATCCATCATCATCATCATCATTCTCCAGGTTCCCTTATACAGGAGATTAGGCACGCGGTAGCAGGAAAGGGTAAGCGATTCGATGCATATACAGGAGGACATTCATCATGTGGTAGCAGGAAATGTAAGCGATCCGATGAACTTACATCATTCTTCAGGACGATCAGCAGATCGAAGTAATGTGACGAAATCCCACTGGTACCTGTCACACCATGTCTCTCAAACTCTACATATTGAATCTGCCACAGAAGAAGATCACATTCACATCCAGTATGAAAGAAAATTCAGTTCAGTTTCGTTTCAGCATTCTGCACATGTTCGCCCCACCCCCCAACCACCACCACCATCAAGAACTCCACAGAGCTCCCCATCAGACATCCATTCAACAATGCCTCCACTGCCCGCGCCCCCCCCCCTTTTCCCCCTCTTTTCCCAGCCACCTGTTTACCTTCGGCACGGTCAACT